CTTCCTATAATATTACTAATTTTTTCTGCTGCATTTATTCTAAAGCTATTTTAGCAAACGATGTATGAGAAAAAAATTTAATGAAATAATTGGTTGACTGATCAGAAAATATGCATTTTGTTTGTGCTCTGGCTATATTGAGGTATCAATTAGAATCACTTTCTTCTCCAGTTCAAAATCTCATCACTGTATTCCCTAATACTTTTCAATAAATCACCTTACAGTGTGACTGTCTGTAGTACAGCAGAGATTGACTCTCATTAAAACTCTTACTGAGAAATATGGGCTAAGCCTAATTATTTTGCTTCAGGTTCACATTATAATAAAATCTGTGTAGAGCATATTCATCTTTAAAATTTCAAACTCTGAAAAATCAACCTAGTATCATTTTTATTCCTAATTAGTAGGTTTTGGAGAATTCAAAGTATTCCTAGTTCAGATAAGTAAAATGTACAGAACCAGGCTGATAAGCAATGTCTTTTTAAAAACTACATTAAAAGCTAAAAAATCCATAAAATAAGGAAGAAAAGGATAAAGTGTTACCATTACTATATAATCCAAAGCCTATCTTGTTTCATTCTTATGACTAATGTATGAGATAGCAATGTATTTCAGCAATGATGTGGAGCACTTTATTGATCATCTTAGATTGTAAACTCTTAGGTGTAACTTTTTATCATGTGTTTGTACCAGGGTACATTTGTACCAGTGTGTTTATAGGAATTCTGATGCTCAGTGCAGTATCAACAAAGTTCTGAGTGGAGTCATATGTAACTTCCTTGACTAAAAGAATAGCAACCTTTTAAACATATGCATGTAGGAGATGCATGCTACTGCAGCAACTACTGAAGTCAAGTCAAGTTCAAAGTTTCACCTAAATTTAACAGCCTATTGGGCAAGCGGAATTAAGATCCACCAGTTTCTATAACCAATGGCAAAATGTGAGAGATGTGAAGATATTTACAGCTAGATTAACTAGGCCTAGTATTTCACACAAGTCTGAAGTGGGGCTCAAATTCCTGCCACTGGCCATAGCAAGATGCTATAACTGCTCTGTCATGACTGTTTCCAGGGAATTTCCCTCCTAAACCCTCAGAGTTAGGTTTGATTATGCCCTCCACAAATGTAGCTTATAGTAAAACAGCTATACTGAAACAGTGTGTGTTTCCACTATAAATCTGGATGTCCTGAATGCTGTCAGTGCACAGTCATGATGGGTGACTTCAATCACCCTTGCATCTTATGGGAATATCATTCAGCCAAATCTGATTGGTTGTGAAGCTTCCTCACTTGCACTGATGAGCTCTATTTAACTCAAGAAGTTTACGGGCCAACAAGGGGTAAGGCACTGCTGGACCCCTAGAAAAAAAACAAGGGCAACATCAGACCCTTGCTGAACCAAATGGGGCAGCTGACAACCAACACCCAGGAGAAAGCTAATCTCCTCAATAATTACTTGTGTCCATTTGCCATCAGCCCAAGTGGATCACCCTGTGAGACAGGACACAGGATTACCAGCGTAAGGGCAACCATATGCCTACCATTGGTAAAGACCTTGTGAGGGAACACATTGAAAGGCTGGACACCCACAAGTCAGCTGTCCCAGATGGAATGCACCCAAGAGTGCTAAAAGAGTTGGCTGATTTCATAGCACTGACAATGGCAAGGATATTTGAGAACTCATGCTGCTCAGGAGTGCCCATCTTCAAGAAGGGAAGGCAAAAAGACCCAGGAAACTACAGGCCAATTAGTCTGACCTCAACCCCTGGAAAAATCCTGGAAAAATGTATTAAAAAATCCATCAACAACAGGCTAACAGAAGGCATAATTCTGAGAGATAGCCAGCACAGCTTTATTATGGGTAGGTCATGTCTGACCAACCTCATTTCTTTCTATGATCAGGTGACACCTCACCTGGACAGGGGATGAGAAGCTTATGTCATTTACTTGAATTTCAAAAAAGCCTTTGACTTGGTCTCCCATCATATCCTCATGGTAAAATTGGGGAGCTGAGGCCTCAACAACCTTACCATCTGACAGCTGGGGAACTGGCTCCATGGTCAGACCCAGAGAGTGATTATCAATGGAACTGAATCAACACTGGCGTCCCCCAGGGTTCAGTTCTTGGACCAGTGCTCTTTAATATATTCATAAGTGATCTGAATTTGTGTGTCAGAAATGGACTGGCTAAGTGCACAGACAATACCAATTTATGGGGAAGCACGGTAACTCTAGAGGATAGGCTGGGGATTCAAGCCGACCTGGAGAGGCTTGCAAGGTGGGCAGTTCACAACCAGTTGACATTCAACATAGAGAAATTCAAGGTGCTCTACCTCAGGAGAAAGAACCCACATCATACCTATAGGCTTGGCAGTGTTTCACTCAATAGCACCATGACCAAAAGACACTCGGGGATCATGATTGACCACAAAATGAATATGAGCCACCAATGTGATGCCGCAGCTTGAAAAACAAATAAAATCCTGGTTTGCATTTAGTAATGCATCTCGAGCAAAACCCAAGATATCATCCTCCCACTTTACTCAGCCTTGGTAAGGCCACAGCTGGAGTACTGCATCCAATTCTGGGCTCCACACTTTAAAAAGGACATGGAGAAGCCATGAGGACTGAGGGAGTCCAGAGGAGACCCACGCTTATGATCAGAGGTCAAGAGAGCAGGCCTTATGAGGAGAGGCTGAGAGGCATGGGACTCTTCAGCCTGGAAAAGTATAGGCTCAGGGGGGATTTGGTGGCAGCCTTTAAGTACATAAGGGGTATACATCAGGATCTGGGAGAACATCTGTTCCCCAGGGCACCCCAAGGGAAGACAAAATCAAAAGGTCACAAACTGCTGGACTGGTCAAATGGTCACAAAACGGTTACACTGGACATAAGAAAAAACGTCTTTACCATCCGAGTCTCCAGAGTCTGGAATGCAAGCACCTACTCTGGACACATTCAAGAAGTTTTTGGATGATTATCTTGCTGGGGTCATCTGACCCCAGCTGACTTCCTGCCCTTTAGGCAGGGATCTGGACCCGATGATATCACAAGGTCCCTTTCCACCCCAATATCTATGAAATCTATATGTCTAAGGTCTGGTGTTTGGAAGAAATAAATGGAGAAAGAAAGATCTTGTGGAGAAAAAAAAGAAAAGCATGTTAAGTCAACATTGGTACTGATGTAAGTAGGTGAAAAATAAATTATTATACCCATGTATTAGTCTAAATTAGTAGTAAATTATTCTAATAAAATTTCCTATTCTGTTCATTTATTATCTGTGATGATTAGAAAGAGGAAGGCATTAAAAATCCTCTGCAGTTGCAAAACTTACACTTTGTTAGTCTTACTGGTTTTATTGCTAATTATGATCACTTATATGCCAGTGTTATTAACTGTCTCACTTCCAAGCAACTTTCATTTAGAGAATGATTTTGCCCTCATTTCTGCCTTGTATTATAAAACACAGCCAACATTTTACTCACTGGAATAAGCAAATTCTACCTAAGACAGATCTGTGCAAGAATAGTAAATACCAATAAAATAATATATTAAGGAAGATAAAAACAAATAAACAAATAAATAAAAGCCAGTTGGTCCAGCCAATGCCAGCAGCCTCTTGCCAGTGCAGGTTTGTTCAGAAGAGTACATTCTCCATTACAGACCATTCTGAAGCACTGAGTACAGGCAGTCTTCAGACTTACGACATAATTGGTTCCATATCTTAAGTCAAAATGTTGTAACTCAGAACCAATTTACAAATGGGGGATTGGTTCCTGAACCAAGGCCCGATACCCTATTTTCACCAAAAATAACCCAGAATTTTGTACTCAATCAATTATCGATGAGTAATATAGCTACATTAATGTATTTATATTGTAAATAGCAATCATATTGATTTAGAAGGAGTTCTTTGAGGAGACTTTACTGGACTTTTTGAAGGGCTCTTGGTTGAGCTTTTTGAAGGGTTCTTGGCTGGAGTCGTCTCAGGAGTCTTGGCTGCAGGCAGATGGGTGACACAGCGAACTTGTTTGCTGGCGTGTCTTGGCATCAGATCAAGTGTTGTAAGTCGAAACTGACATCAGAAAGTTGAAACAGGGTGTCAATTTATAAACTTTGTAAGTGCAAAGTTTGTAACTCGAAACATTGTAATTTGAGGACTGCCTGTACTATAAGCATTAATTAGAATGTATCTTCTAATAAGTTATACTTAGACCATAATAAAGACACTTAAAATGTGAGCATCTGCACATTACAGCTCATTAATTTGTGCTAAGTGTCCTCTGAGCGTCTCAAAGATACACCACTTCAGGCAAGGGTTAAGTTCAGGCTTACTACCTAGCTTGTGTTCGAGTTGCACCCCTTCCAACCCCCGCCCACCCAGAACAGGGATAGAGCTCAGATGTCCTGGCTCCTGCTCCACCTATGCTCACCAGCCTTCCAGTGGCAGGAAATGCTGTTAATCCTTAATGTGTGACAGCTCACAGCAAATTCTAACGTTAACATGGCTTAACACTCCACAGATTTGGTATGGTCTAAATGTAACATGTAACTTCACCCACACAAAGATTTTGCTAAGGCATTGACTACAGTAGGTCTCACCAGAGCTGTAACTGATGCTGAGCTGCTTACAGAAACTTAATGTGGAATATTTATACATAAGGCTCATACAAGATGACAGAGAATGACACAAGATGTACAGTACTTTCAGGTAAGGAAGCTACACAGGTTAAGGGGAAAGAAAGCACCATGTGTTGCAGACAGTTACATCTCTGAGACTTTGTCAGTGAACCCTGAGTTCCTTCTTTGGGTGTTCTGTGATCTATCCACAAGAGACGAGCAGACACTGACCACACATGAGAGAGAAATTTTCCATCGCTTAATCTAGTCCAGTATTAATTCTCTTAGGTGACAGGGTTCACTTCTCTAGCCATGGAATAATAACAATAGAAGTGAAAAGAAAAAAAAATAGACAAGTGCATGCTGTGAGGAGGGAGCAATGGACCCACCTCCTTATACAGTCCATTCAAGGATTTCCTATCCCTGCCCCCCCGCCCCATTGGCCATGGGAACTAGATGTGAAGATAAGGAAGCAAGGCCATCTCTGCTTGTTCTCCTCCCTGCAAAAAGTACATCTGGTAAGCAATTTTTTTCCTTGCAATTATTTTTGTTACTTTTTCTCATTTGTTTTAGCTTTTGGGGCTTTTGTAGCAACTGTAAACCACTTTTCCTGGAAAAGCTTTCAAATGTTCTATATTCATTCACATTTTGGTAAAGATTTCCATGCATAAAAAAGCCATGTTTTCATTTTGAGAGTTTTAATCTGAAAATATTATCTGCTGCACTATAGAACAGGTGAAAGTGCAGAGTGGAATATAAACAGCAGCTTCCTTATAGAGTCCCAATGGTATACCCTCCTAGTTCTCTCCAGATTGGAGCTGTGTGGCATTGCATATTATCCCTATTATACTACATCCTATCACACAGAAATCGTTCCTATAGATGCCCCTTATTTGTCCATGTCTAAACAATGGTAAATATGTAATTTGAAAACTTGGGGTGGGTTATTTGTGAACAACAGCTACAATATCTTAATAGTATAAGCGAGGCTGCCCACAACTTAGAGGGGGGAACTATGAGTCTAAATGTTAGAAGTATTTAAAAATAAAAATAAAACTATTTTCCATATTATCACTGGCACAAGTTAAAATCAGATACCTTTGAGCTACTAGGACTGAAAATGCATGTCTTATCCTAATGCAACTGAGAATTGATAACACCATGACCTTATTTCTGGAGTTAGTGAGTTGATAGATATTGGATATTAAGATTGTCTCTAGTCTGGGACTGAATATTGATAGTCCAGGACTTTCTGCTAGCTTAATTTGTGGGAGAGAGTCCCATTTGGGAGGGAAGTAAGAAACATTTGTCACAACATTTGTCGGGTTGTTAAAATGGCAGTCATTTGAAACTGCTCAGAAATTTGCGTGATAGATTAAATTTCTAACCTTTTCCAGAGTTTTATTAAATATATTATCTAAATTAGTATGCCTGTTCACTCATCCATATTGTACTAATAAGTTTTATAATAATTAATGTTCTTCCTTCAGAGAAAGTGAAGAAATTTTAAATTTTCTCCCTATTCTGTCTTAATTTAAATTGCTTATACCTAGTGGATATTTTTAGTTTGTATGATATGACTATTTTCCTTTAACCAAAAACCTAAAGAACTAGATAAAAACAAGCAATAACAGCTGTTCTTTAAAGGGTATGAATGATATATTTGTTTTATCATCTTTCAATATATACTAAATCATTCATTGTACATTCGTGTTTCTTTATGGAACATTACACATTGGTGTCCCAAATTGTAAATTTTTCTGCATGTTTTACAAGTATCAGAAAGTACAAAATTGAGCCTTGGAAAGCAAACATACGTTGAGATGAAAGTCAATGTGAAAACCTAAGCTATCCAGCCAAAGTGAACTTTTAATTTTCTTGCTCTCCCAGCAACTAATGTTCATTATAAATTGACTGCATAAATTTATCCTCAAATGCTATTCCACATGTGTACAGTGAAGAGATGGGGATATTTGGGATAAAAATGTTAATATCATGTTTAAAAAAATAGCCTTGACATATGGCATTAAGCAGTCATACTTAAGTCATAATAAGAAGTCCCTGACCTTTCAGAGACCCTTCTATTCATGTTAGACGCCCAGGATTCATTTGCAGTTTATTACTCCTTTGAAAGCAGCAACTACATTTAAGACTTTCACTCCACCTTCAGTTCATAACCTATTTCACTTATGAATCATCTCTTGTTGCACTGTAGTAAACCTAGATAAAAAGAAGCTGTAATTGCCAATCAAATGCTGTCAGTCTTTAATGGCCATTTTTCTGGTTAAATCTCAAGTACAAACAGAATAATTAACATCTGAGTACATTAGCCATTTACTAATAAACAATTTTAAGAGGAACTGTACTGCACTGATAAACCTCATATGAATAAATGTAACAACAACAGCAGCAGGTTTTATAAATGGATTTTATATTAGACGTTTTAGAATGAACCAGACATTTATTCATTTTCTCTCTCACTATTGTGCTCCAAATCCTGTTTTTTCATGGCTTAAAATATGACCCATAATAGAGTCTACATGGGGTGAGAGCTGCAGCTCTTCTGTAAGAGAAAGGATGTGGGCTGGGAAGGGACATTGTGGGAAGATTGGAGGATCTCCGATCTGGGGTGGATGTGGGGTGGTGGGAAAAGCTGAGCAGGGAGTGGGATTGGTATAGGGCAAGATTTTTTGTAATTGGATGAGAGCGGTGGAGGTATCATTGGGATTGCAGGGTGGTGGCAATCGGGCAGGGAGGCTGAAGTTGGGGGGAAGTGGGGAATTAGAGTTCTTGGGTTTGGGGATGTTTGGTAAATCCTGTCTGTAAGTTGTTTGTTTATTATAAGCTGCTCTGAGCCTTTTTGATAGAGACATAAAACTAATAAATAAATGGTTTTATGGCTTTATCTTATGACACCTGGATGATGGTGGTGGTGATGGTTATAGTGATGGTTTATTTACTATATAAAGGCTTACCCAGACAATAAAGACTATGAGGTGTATATACAAAATAAGCAGTAAAACTATAGGAAGAAAGGGTTGAGACCATAGGTAGAGATGGAAGCAGTGGTTGATGAATACATTTTCTATGCCAGAAGCAGCCCTAAAAAGATTACCACTTCAAAGGCACTGATTACCACTTTTCCTGCTTCCATCCATGCTCAGACAATTTGCTGCAAACACATTATGCCAGAAAAAAGCCATATATGTGGTAAAGCAACCCAGTTGTCCAGGCAGGCACATAGTAAGGTATAATCCAGATATCAACCATTCTCCAATTCCCTACTCCCTTCCCCCCACTTCTCCCTCCCTATTCCCTGCCAACTTCTTTCTGAAGGGTACATTAAAGTATGCAGTATTTCCCACTGTATGCTGGCACCCAGGGCCTAGATAGCCTGCATGTGAATATTGTGAAGGTCTAATTCCCACAGCTCCCTTGTCTGGGCACATATTGCAACTGATAACCTAATCCTAGTTATTTATTAATGCATCTTCTGGGATTCTGCCATTGTGCTAAGTTTGCAGACTTACATGCAGACTGATAAGCTTTACAAAATTCATTATTTTGTTTTTCTCTAAGACGGATTCAGTATTGAAAACAATGTTTTGAAACAAATGAAGGCTAAGCAGGTGGGCAGACTGCCGGAACAGACAACAAATCCAAGCTATTGCAAACTGGGATGGTTATTCCAGAAGAAAAGAAACCTTATGAAGAGTTGAAAACAATCCAAGGTTTTGGAACTACTAATACTTTTCATTGTTACAATCTGGTTCAGAGATTGAGGCATTTTCTCAAGATAAAAACTTCAGAGTAATATGTTAAAACTAATATGGTGAACTGTAACTATTTGGTCCTTTCCAGTGTTGGAGTCAGCTCTGTGACCTAAAGCTCCGGAGTATACTGACTTATGGTTGTGTCACATGTTACATTTAGTGGGTACATCTACTCATGCAATTATAGATTTCATAGATTTCATAGACATTAGGGCTGGAAGGGACCTCGGAAGATCATCGAGTCCAGCCCCCTGCCCAAAGGGCAGGAAGTCAGCTGGGGTCATAGGATCCCAGCAAGATAAGCATCCAGTTTGCTCTTGAATGTGTTCAATGTAGGTGCTTGAACCACCCCCGGTGGCAGGCTGTTCCAGACCTTGGGGGCTCGGACAATAAAGAAATTCTTCCTTATGTCCAGCCTGAAACAGTCTTGTAGTAGGTTATGACTGTTCGACCTAGTCGTCATCCCTTGGGGTGCTCTGGTGAACAAACATTCCCCCAGATACTGGTGGTCACCCCTGATAAACTTATAGGTGGCCATCAGATCACCCCTGAGCCTGCGCTTTTCCAGGCTAAAGAGCCCCATGGCTCTCAGCCTGTCATCGTAGGGTCATTACTTTGAAGCAATAAACTGCAGAGCAGTTTAAGCTGGAGTAAACTACTTCCAGGTGCAGCATCTACATGTGTGCCCAGGACAGCAGCAATTTGTGTGAGGGCAGAGGAGTTTGCACCAGGGCCTGGGCCATGGAGGGGGTCAGCCCCAGGCTCTGGGTGGTGGAATTGTGCAGTAGAGGGGCTGGCTGAGGCACAAGGGAACTGAAAGTATGAAGCTGTGTGGATAGGTGACAAGCAGGCTGGGCTGACAGGGCACAATTTACACTTGCAATCAGCATCTACACATGCATTTAATCACAGTTAATTACCCCAACATAAGATAGAACTCTCCTCTATAGTAAGTAGTTTACTTCAGTCTAATAACATCATACATGTAGACAGTGATGCTTTACTCAGCAGCTAATTAGTCTACTGTGCAGTTAAGCACACATGTAGATATGGCCAGTATGTGTTAAGTGCACTTAAAATGCAACCAACCAAACTGTAGTGGAGCACCAATGGGGTTCTCACAACTGAAGGGCTGTTGCAGGTAGTGAGGGAGCCTGCTTTGTGAGCATCAGGGAAAACTTCCCCCAGGAACCATTTTAAGGGGGGAGGTGGATGGCAGAGCACCTTTGGTGTCTACCACTTTAAGGAGGAGAGCAGGCAGCAGACAGGTTCCTGCCAGCCCTGATGAGGTGGCCATTTTAAGATCCTGGCTTTCAGGGCTGCCAGCAGCCGAGGAAGCAGCAACACCCGGCTGCACTGCTGCTCAAAGAACTCCTTGGAGGTAAGGGCAGGAGCTATTGGGGATGGCAGGAGGCTTCTGGTTCTGGGCATGACTTGAAACTGCAACCTGCTGGGGTTGGGTGGCTGGGTGGGGCTGGTTGTGGTGGGACAGTCCCCCAGAAATGCCAGGACAGTTATCTCCCTGGTGAAAGGTGAGGAGGGATGCCATCAAACCCCAGCCCCCCACCAGTCTGGTGGGTTATAATACCAGAGGGGAGTAGGACCAGGCACACCCAGGGAGGGACACTTGAGCCCAGAGTAGGTAGTAGAGACAGGCACCTCCATGGGTGGCACATGAGCCCATAGGGGTGTAAGGCCCCAGGGATTAGTGGGGCCAGGCACACTCATGAGTGTGGCACCTGATC